TAAATGATAATCTACCTTAACCAAAATCAAAGTAGACTATCACTCACCCACACCAGATGGAAAACTCTACAGACTGTCGGTTCACACCCCATCACAAGCCAGCAAAACATCCACGAAACAAAGAAAGGTCTATCACAGCCAAAAAATACACTCCAGACACGCCGCGTATATATATATATATCATCACATATATATATATCGTCACATATATATACATATATATTGTCACATAACTATGAACTTTAAGAGCACAATTTTTGTGAAACAATGTATATATATAGTCAAACAGAGCTGCCCGGTAAATATATATTTACGAGCGGACTGGTTGCTAGACTCGAGGCAAATCGAATATGTCACACTGTTTGGACCAGCCCAGCAACAGCGACACCAGGATGAGGGAGGTACCAATCACCAAGACAACTCAGCAAGCAATACAAGCTTAGGGGGGGTGCACTTCACTTCAGTGAACGTTCCGTTGATGACGCTCCACGATCGCTCCAACACTCCAGCAGGTACGTAATCACCACTCAACAAGCCACTTCTTCTTCAGCCTACCCTCCCCCCTTCATCAGACTTCTCCCCACTCACTTCTCTCTCTCTCCAGCCTTGATCATTGCCAGCAATATCCAGTGGATGCAGCGAGCTTCTGCGCCGATACCAGTTGGCAATGAACCTCTCGTCTCCTCCAGAGAAACGAAGACCTGGTAAGCGCAGCTTTAGAATTCCAACAGCTTATCAAACAAGCGATTAAGAGTTTCAGTCACAGGCGCTCAACAGCGCAAACCCAATTATCCAGTATCTCCACTCAGGTAAGTATCTCTCCCAAAGCTCTTCTCTCTTCTCTCTCAGTCTTCTCTCTGTCTACTACCTCCCTGTGTCTTCTCTCCCTACTTGCATGCACTCGCACCTTCTACTACTCAAGGACCAACTCTGAATACACCCACTGCTAACTCTACTAAGCCCTCTGAGGTCTGCTACTAACTACTAGCATTGGCGCAGCTATGGCTGCCTTCCCTCTGCCAGCGCCAGGCAGCTATGGCTGCTCCCTCTCTCTCTCCCCAACAGCGCAGCTCCCTGGCTCAGCGCTCTGCCCCTCACAATAGCGCACAAGTGCACCAGCACTTCCACACTTCATGCGAATGACCTATCGGCCAAATGAGGAGGCTGGACAGTCCTTATATTGTCTTGGACCGAGCTTCAACTCGTGCCAGCTTCTGCTTCTTGGGGCTTGACTTGGTTCCGGGACCACATCCCCACACCCTGTTTGCTTTCGAATGTCAGGGCCTGGTACCTTTTCCAAATTTTCATTGGTGTGCTGCTGCTTGAGTCACGACTTTTCGATTGTGGCACATGGTTTTTGACTGTGGTTTGCGACTCCTGCCTCTGGGACAAGACTTGTGTCTGTGAAGTGTCCTTTGCCCGCAGGATGTGACATTCCAATATGACTTTTCATTATGAGACGTGATTTTACCCCTGAGATGTGACTGTTTGCCGGGTGCCCGTTGGGATTGACTGCTAGGGTACCCACCCAACTGTGACTTTTCTGAAACTGACCAACTTGGCCTTTCTTGGCCCAGGCCTCTGACCCTGAAACTCAAATTTGGGGTCTGAACCATGGAAGGCCTTTCAAAACGAACCGATGACGTTAAAACATAGCGTCACCAGGCTTCTGCAGGGCACAAGAGAATTGGAAACCCCACTCCCAGACAAGTCTGCCATGACGAACACATGATAGCGGAAATGCATCACGAGGGGGCCCAAAGGTTTAAGGTTATCATGGTCCCGACTACCATTATCCTTATTACTATATTTTAATAGAAGGTAAGCACCATCAGTGCAATTAGTGATACTGATGAAGCAGCGAGAGGAGGAGGATTAAAAAATCAATGAAGACATTTTACCACTCAATGTTAGTGGTTCTCAATTGACATAATGCGCAACAATATAGGGACAAAAAACAAAAAAACGAGGGCCGGAAAAAAAGCGTAACAGATTTTGGCTCATGATGTCCACAAGAACTCAAGTTGTCAAAAGAGCTTTGGATGTGAACAGAAAGAGAAGATGATGTGCAAACGACTGCAGAATGCTTGAAAAGAGCTGGAAAAACTTGGAAAAAGAAAAATGCCATTTTTTCCTTCTGTTCTCCTTGTTTCACAAAAGAGATCTGACATGAGCTGCCACGCAAATACAATGCAGGAGCTGAGGTGATGCTTTCACAGGTTTTTGGCTGTGTGGTCGGTTGTAGGCCCCCGCCCTTTCCCCTCCATGCGCCAGTTACCATTGCAAACACACACAGAGCAATTACAACAGCAAGAACCCATCCAAGAAACTTCATTTAGGAGCCATCTCCCCACACCTCACCAGCCACTCTCACCATCCCCCCAGCCCACACTAGAACTAAGAGCACCCATCCAGGTCTTTAAGGCCATACCCTATGTAATTGGAAGGGCTTGTGGCGATGGCAGTCACACGCCCCTATTCCACACGATATGGTCATTCTGTCTCTGAGCCAGCGGTGCTGCTGTCGCTGTCACCGCCCCAAATTAACGCAAGACGACAGAGCAATGATCAACAACACAATTCCCACCCGCCCAGAAGGATGCCGTATAAGAAAAATCAATGGTTGGTGGTTCAGAAACTCTATACAACGCAGTATAAGAATAAAGGACCAGACATGCAAGGGCAGCAGCACAACAGCATAAATCGCATCTTTCTCTCTCTCTCTCTCTCTCTCTCTCTCTCTCTCTCTCTCTCTCTCTCTCTCTCTCTCTCTCTCTCTCTCTCTCTCTCTCTCTCNCTCTCGCACACACACACACACACACACACACGCACACACACACACACACACACACACACACACACACACACACACTCGCGTGAACAGACAAATGCACATTAACTTGCACAGATGTGCACAGACAGCAACAACACGAAGAGCCAAGCAGAGGGAGGCCCACGCCCAGACAATAGCTTCTACTCACCTTGTCATAAACGTAAATATTGCCATCAGCATGAGCCGAGACGAAGAGCCCTTCCGAATTCGGAACCCATGAAACAGCAGTACACCGACTGCAAAATGGACAACAAAAAAAAGAAAAAAAAACGCGACCAAAACCCCACCACCAAGCATGCAGGAAAAAGAGTCACCAAAGTCCTTCCTCCAGACTGTAAGATGACCCATCATGTGCAGACTGCCTGCATATTCTTGCCATGGTAAATTAGCAGCAAGATGAAACTCAAAGGCATACAAAGTACAGCCACAAACAAAACGACTGCTTGGTTCAATCGGATTGTTACCGCAACTCTTTTCTCCTTCCCGACATGCTTGTTTACTGGATATATAGTGATGATTTGCAGATGGTGCCAGTCAATGCGCTGTGAACAACTGCCTTTTTTGGGGACATCTCTCACGTACATTCACTATCTTCTTCCAATGAATCTAAACTTACAATATTTGATGGATCAGACCTCATGGATCAAGCCTCCATTATAGCACGGTCGCCACACTAACATTGACAAACCACAAACAGTAAACAACCGCAGGGGAGAGGCAACAGGTCAGAGGCTGTGCGTGATTACAGTTAGCAGGTCAGGGCACAGGTTGATCACGATCTCAGCCTGGAAGTCAGCCAGCAGTTGAACATGTGCCATCATCCATTCCCATGCCCTTTAGAATTTTTCAGACCTGTGGACTTTTGCACATGCCAAAGTTTAATCGTTCACATTCTGAATGACCTACTTCACTATCATCAAGCATATACATCATCACATGGGTGACGACTGCGGGATCAGGTGGCCCTCTGAGGTATTTTTCAGGTGTAGAAATCCACGCAACTGGGATTTGCATCGTTCAGGGAGGGGGAAAACCAAAAGCAAGCAAGGGACAAAAAGGTATGCTGATTTCTCAACCCCTTTCTGCAGAGATCTTAATGTTCACAATCTCTCCTACCAGTTGTTCAGACCCTACAAAGGTCCAATGATGAAATGCAGATATCAACAGTATGGCAGAGCATCCAAAGACTTCACACAAGGGAAGGCGAGGACGATTGCACGACAGCAAGGCTCCATCGGAAGTGCAGCTCCTTCACATCAGCAGACCTCCAAACTAGGTCAAAGGCATGTCACGGAACATGAGCACTTTGATAAATTTGCCCACATGCCCAGGAGAACTCCACGGTGGTGACGAGACACCACTGACAAGCTGTGCAGACCACAAACGCAGGAGCCCACTAAACTGTATCATGCACCCAGCTCCACAAAGTTAAGTACTGAAAACGCATGCAAGCCCAAGAACTTGCATTCAATCCCAGAGCAAAGCAGATGCGGGGCGTTTTGTTTTTTTGCGTTGACCCCTGCTGAGATAATTCTCTGATTGAAAATTCAAGTTGAAGGCGAATAAATCAAAGAACATTTCAAGTCGGCAAGTAAAAAAGGAGAGAAAATTTTCTTTACTAAGAACACCGGAAAACCGATTCTAAGGGCATACTCAAATTAGGACTTCCGTGGATGCACGTGAACGCACTCACTGCAGGTCTTGGCTGTATTTGACAGCAATTATCCAGAGATCAGTCAAAGAGAAGTTCTAGAGTATGTAACCTAACGTCCTTGTTAGGTCTCTCTTTTCTCAGCACACAAGCCGTTTCAAACACAGCCACTTGAATTCTGAACACTTCATTCAAAATCAGGAGAGCGGCAACAGGAGGGATGCATGCTCAATCGATGAGCACTATCAGGCCTCCTGAGGAAGGGCATACTCACCAGAAGTTATCACCCCTCGATATGAATGCGATTCTTGCCAGGAGCATTCAGCAAAGTCCTGGTACAACCAGAGCTAACCACTCTCAAACCACCAGTGGTCCATACCCTTCCCAGCTACCCACATGAATGTGGCAGTGTCGTGGAAAGGATTCACCTACCAGACAAAAAAGGCAGGCGGTGGTAGGCCCTAAGCTCGGGACAGTTCAGTACTTAGGGGCAGGGAAAATCACATGTCAGAAAACAGAGGCTTGGATATACTGGTGGTTTAAGCGAGAGTAGAATTCACTCTGCAGGACATGTGTCCTATGCTTCCAGGGTAAAGAGGGGTTCAAAACTCACTTGCTTGCAACAGCTGGGTCTCTGCAATAATGAGCCGCCCCCACGAGTTTCTTTCCAGGATCCTGAAGCTGGGCCCTCAGTGACACCGTATATACTGCAGGGAGCAATGGCAGCACAATGTTCCTTCATCATCAGCCTTACAGGACACAACATGATCATCTGCCTATTGCAATTACCAGAGAGGAAAACAAGATAGCTTTCTCTGCAGTTGATTGTACCGACACCTCCGCACTCAAGTGACACAAGACAAACATCGGACCATTTACCTTCGCAGTAAGAAAGATTGAACAGCTTTCCCTACAGTTAATCCCTCTAACTTGATTGGATTTTCCAGGTCTCCTGGTGAACGCAGAAGGAGCGAGAAGCAGGGATTGGGGAGGGAATGGTGAGTGTGAAGGTGGGAAAAGAGAAAAAAGACCACTGCAATGACCCGCACAGCTGCAGTCTCAAAGCCCTAAATTTTCCTGAGAAAGTTGTCGTCTTTCGTTCTGTTAGCTGGGTTTCCCGAGCCTGTGCAAGGAAAAGAAGTAACAGTGAGATGACAATTCCAGATCACACCATCACATTGAAAGCCAAATAGTCACACCGTGTCCAGAGAGCAGCGTTGCACCAATAATACACCAATGGAGGTTTGTAGCACTGAAAACCAATGTTCATGGAGAGCATACTCTCTCCTCCCAACACAAGAGTCCAGTTCCTTCACACTCACACTTAAGCTCAGCGCCCAG